TGATTGGACCTTATCAGTGTGGCTTTAGGCCTGGAAAATCCACCATAGATCAGGTATTCACAATACGCCAAATCTTGGAAAAGACCCGCGAGAATAGGATCGACAAACACCATCTATTTGTCGATTTCAAAGCCGCTTTCGACAGCACGAAGAGAAGTTGCCTTTATGCCGCGATGTCTGAATTTGGTATCGCCGCGAAACTAATACGGCTGTGTAAATTGACGTTGAGCAATACCACCAGCTCCGTCAGAATAGGGAGCCGTTTGATACCAAACGAGGTTTCAGACAAGGGGACTCCCTTTCATGTGAATTCTTTAATCTGATGTTGAAGAAGATAATAGGAGCCGCAGGACTGAACCGCTCAGGCACAATACTTTACAAGAGCGTACAATTGCTGGCATGTGCCGACGACATCGATATTATCGGTAAAAACAAGGGAAGCAAAGCGAATGAGTCTCGTGGTGAACGAGGACAAAACGAAGTATCTCCTGCCATCACACAAACAGTCAGAGCATACGCGTCTTGGCACCCACGTCACTGTTGACAGTTATCGTTTATTTGGGAACCAGCATTAATACCAATAATAATGTCAGCCTGTAAATCCAACGGAGAATCACTCTTGCCAACAAGTGCTACTTTGGGCTGAGTAGGCAACTGAGAAGTAAAGTCCTCTCTCGTCGTACAAATATCACACTCTATAAGTCACTCATCATGCCTGTGCTAGCGTATGGCGCGGAGGCGTGGACAATGAAAGCATCTGATGAGGCGGCTCTTGGAGTTTTCGAGAGAAAGATTCTGCGAAAGATTTACGGACCTTTACGCGTTGGTGATGGCGAATATCGCAGATGATTTAACGATGAGCTGTATGAGCTTTACAACGATATAGACATAGTGCAGCGAATTAAAATTCAGCGGCTCCGCTGGCTTGGTCATGTCGTTCAAATGGACACAAACGCTCCTGCTCTGAAAATATTCAACCCGGGCCGCGATGCTGGTAATAGAGGAAGAGGAAGGCCTCCTCTGCGTTGGAAAAACCAGGTGGAGAAGGACTTGGCTTCACTTGGCATTTCCAATTGGCGTCAGTTAGCACAGAAGAGAAATGACTGGCGGGCTGTTTTGGACTCGACCAAAATCGCTTAGGCGGTTACAGCGCCAATAAAGAAGAAGAAGAAGGAAACCCCCCTAAAAATATTTTCGGCAGTAAAATTTTCCAACCTTTTAGTTTTCTGCCAATATTGCAATATTTAGTTTATGTTATCAATTAGATTAAATAAAAGTTTTCAAAGAGATGGCAACCTTCTACACAAATATTTTCAAATTAAGCATTTGTAAACCTAGTTCTTTTGACAGCCACATTGCAATATTTACTTTATTGTATCAATTTATTTAACTGAAATTTTCAAACAGGTGGCAACTGTCTAAATTTTTTCTTCTATATTTTAAGTTGGACCTCTAGTGATACATCGGTGAAAACTGAATTCGATTCCATGCATTAGTTTTCGAGTGATGTGCGTACAAATATACAGACAGACAAAAATTCTAAAAATTGTTGATTTGGCCTCTGTAGCTCTAATAAAGACCCCCTATATTAATTTTTCTTTACAATTTTATTATAAGTACAGATATGAATTTCATTTAATTCATCAATTTAATTAAATCAAATTTTTCAAAGAGGGGGCAACCCTCCTCGAAACGTTTCTTTTAAAAATATCTACCAACTTCTACTACTTTTTGTATGTAAAATCTACCACTATTAATTTTTTGGCAGTCCGTGCACTAAATCATATACACCACTCTTACATGTGGCTACGTTCTCGACTCATCGTGTTTCAAACCATCAATGGCGCTAAAGAAGTTTTCACTTCAAAAACTTGTTGGATGTTGCCTGGTTCACACATTAAATCTGGGTCCAACGAGTGATATTATGCACACCCTAACCACTTCGCTTCGGCTGCCGCCCACCATAAATAGAATACATGTACATTGGGGTGGTCCCAAAATACGTAGGAAAATCAACACTTCAGATTTTTCCTTCTGCCACCCTCCAGAACTGAAGAACGTATTTTTTTTTTGATGTGTATACATCTTTGGTTTCGGTAGGGGTAAAATTTGCGAAGCTGTAACGCATATCCCGCACAAAATTTCGAAGGGCTTAGCATGTGTACTTCAGCATAAAATTTTTATTTTCATTATAAGCACCCTGTGTTCGCTTGACCAAAAAAAGAAAAAATATCAAATCGTTTTCCCCAGACACAATAAAGCTGCTGTTACCCTCTAAATCCGTTGTCAAAGATGTGACAAAGGAATAGTTTGAGGCCAGCGAAGATTCTGAAAGCGAAAACTAATTAACCAATGATAGTGTACACATTTTATAAATAAAGGTAGTCAATATATTTAAATAGCAAATTATTGGCTAATATATATATTTTATTAATGTACCCTATCTGTAATACAAATAATTTCAATTTTACATTTGATAAACAATTTTGAGTAGATAGAGGGAATAAAATATTTTTTGCCGCATAAAACTTGAAAATTTACCTATATGCGGTGTTTCCAAGATATTTTAACGCCCTTGAGTCACAAGTATATATGTACAAGTATATTTTATCAATCATGCCGATAATGTCATGTATTAAAAGAATTAAAAATGAAAATGAATAAAAAAATTAAATCAGCAAAATGAATAAAATTAAGTGAAATTAATGTTTAATTTCTACTCTAACCTACATTTGTATGTGTGTAACTGAATCGCCTTTATATATAAAAATATTATCTTAATTTTCGAGCTTGACTCCCAAATCTGTTATTAGAAAAAGAGATTAGCCATGCAAAATTATAATTAAAAATATCTCAGATTAAACCGATAACTTTTTGGTGTCCAACCCAGTTTTATCGATTATATTTGCGAAGAAGAGGAGGAATGTCTAATGTTAAAGTAAACAAAAATTGACGCTAGTAAGGAAAATAGGTTTGTAAAGGTATTTATAAAAAAATATTTAAATGGCCTAATATGTATTGCAAAAAAAGTGGCTACGGTGGCACAGAGAAGAAGTTGAACTTTTCCTCGAGTTGTGTGAATAACAAGCACAACCAATTTGACAGCTAACGAGTTTTGATTGAGATTATATTTATATGTAAACGTACTTTTATGCTTTGCCGTTCGCATATGTATACACATCAAACTTCATGAGTACCTAGTACTCACGC